GGAAGGTGTGTGTGACAGAGGAAGGTGTGTGACAGAGGAAGGTGTGTGACAGAGGAAGGTGTGTGACAGAGGAAGGTGTGTGACAGAGGAAGGTGTGTGACAGAGGAAGGTGTGTGACAGAGGAAGGTGTGTGTGACAGAGGAAGGTGTGTGACAGAGGAAGGTGTGTGTGACAGAGGAAGGTGTGTGTGCCAGAGGAAGGTGTGTGTGACAGAGGAAGGTGTGTGTGACAGAGGAAGGTGTGTGACAGAGGAAGGTGTGTGACAGAGGAAGGTGTGTGACAGAGGAAGGTGTGTGTGACAGAGGAAGGTGTGTGTGACAGAGGAAGGTGTGTGTGACAGAGGAAGGTGTGTGTGACAGAGGAAGGTGTGTGTGACAGAGGAAGGTGTGTGTGACAGAGGAAGGTGTGTGACAGAGGAAGGTGTGTGACAGAGGAAGGTGTGTGTGACAGAGGAAGGTGTGTGTGACAGAGGAAGGGGTGTGACAGAGGAAGGTGTGTGACAGAGGAAGGTGTGTGACAGAGGAAGGTGTGTGTGACAGAGGAAGGTGTGTGACAGAGGAAGGTGTGTGACAGAGGAAGGTGTGTGACAGAGGAAGGTGTGTGACAGAGGAAGGTGTGTGACAGAGGAAGGTGTGTGTGACAGAGGAAGGTGTGTGTGACAGAGGAAGGTGTGTGTGACAGAGGAAGGTGTGTGTGACAGAGGAAGGTGTGTGACAGAGGAAGGTGTGTGACAGAGGAAGGTGTGTGACAGAGGAAGGTGTGTGACAGAGGAAGGGGTGTGACAGAGGAAGGGGTGTGACAGAGGAAGGTGTGTGACAGAGGAAGGGGTGTGACAGAGGAAGGGGTGTGACAGAGGAAGGTGTGTGACAGAGGAAGGTGTGTGACAGAGGAAGGGGTGTGACAGAGGAAGGTGTGTGTGACAGAGGAAGGGGTGTGAGACAGAGGGGTGTGTGACAGAGGGGTGTGTGACAGAGGGGTGTGTGACAGAGGAAGGTGTGTGTGACAGAGGAAGGTGTGTGACAGAGGAAGGGGTGTGACAGAGGAAGGTGTGTGACAGAGGAAGGTGTGTGTGACAGAGCAAGGTGTGTGACAGAGGAAGGTGTGTGACAGAGGAAGGGGTGTGACAGAGGAAGGTGTGTGACAGAGGAAGGTGTGTGACAGAGGAAGGTGTGTGACAGAGGAAGGTGTGTGACAGAGGAAGGTGTGTGACAGAGGAAGGTGTGTGACAGAGGAAGGTGTGTGACAGAGGACATCCCTCTAAACTGCTGCACCAAGTCCATCCGTGTAACATTTGTCATCTGTAAAATAGTGAACTGGTCCAACGGCACTAGTGTGTTTGTGTGTGTGTGTGTGTGTGTGTGTGTGTGTGTGTGTGTGTGTGTGTGTGTGTGTGTGTGTGTGTGTGTGTATTCACCTAGTTGTGCTTGCGGGAGTTGAGCTCTTCTTTTTCGGCCCGCCTCTCAACTGTCACTCAACTGTCACTACTATTTGTTTTTCTCCCACACACACACACACACACACACACACACACACACACACACACACACACACACACACACACACACACACACACACACACACCAAAGCTAAAGTTCAACTCAGGAAAGTGTAAGGTGATGAAATTAGGCGAAGGGAGCAGAAGGCTGAACACAAGGTATCATCTGGGAGGTGATATCCTGCAAGAGTCAAATAGAGAGAAGGATCTGGGGGTTGATATCACACCGAACCTGTCCCCAGAGGCCCACATCAAAAGAATATCATCAGCGGCATATGCTAGACTGGCCAACATAAGAACTGCCTTCAGAAACGTGTGTAAGGAATCTTTCAGGACCCTGTATACCACTTATGTAAGACCAATCCTGGAGTATGCAGCTCCAGCCTGGAGTCCATACCTAGTTAAACACAAGACAAAGTTGAAGAAGATTCAGCGGTATACCACCAGGCTCGTCCCGGAACTGAGAGGTATGAGCTACGAGGAAAGGCTAAAGGAGCTGAACTTCACGTCCCTGGAAAACAGAAGAGTAAGGGGAGACATGATAACCACCTACAAAATTCTCAGGGGAATTGACAGGGTGGACAAAGACAAACTCTTCAGCACGGGTGGGACACGAACAAGGGGACACAGGTGGAAACTTAGTACCCAGATGAGCCACAGAGACGTTAGCAAGAATTTTTTCAGTGTCAGAGTAGTTAATAAATGGAATGCACTTGGAAGTGATGTGGTGGAGGCTGACTCCATACACAGTTTCAAATGTAGATATGATAGAGCCCAGTAGGCTCAGGAATCTGTACACCAGTTGATAGACAGTTGAGAGACGGGACCAAAGAGCCAAAGCTAAACCCCCGCAAGCACAATTAGGTGAGTACACACTCACCCTCTCACACACACACACACACACACACACACACACACACACCCTAGGAAGCAGCCCGTGACAGCTGACTAACTCCCAGGTACATATTTACTGCTAGGTAACAAGGGCATCAGGATTTTTTTTACATAAAATTATAATAATATAAGTAGACAAAGCGGAGTAGCGAACCACTTGGCAGGAAAGCGACTTGTAAACAGGAATCGCGTAGGTTTTAGGACATCATTTCCTGGAGCCTTGGCAACGCTTCACACTGCAAGAAGGAATGATTTCTTCGCTCTACGGAGCAGTGATGACGCCGCACAAAGAAATTTTTATTAAACTTCCACGGACGAATTGACTTTCTGAAAGTTTCCTCTCTCGTCTTTCTGTGGCGTTTGAGCTGTGTAATTTCTCCTCAACTTTGGGTGGTTGCTCCCATGCAAATCTCCCGCAGGAAATTGAAATGCTGGAAATAAGAATTTGTTTGACGGGAAGTGCTGTGTTCTGGTGTTCGGGCCAGACGACTGTGGTGTTCTGAGCACCGTGTTCCAGCCGACAAACTTTATATCAATCCTAACTTATCCAAACCAAATCGTCGAATTTCAAGAAAAGCCTAGCCTAGCCTAGCCCAGCCTAGCCCAGCCCAGCCTAGCCCAGCCCAGCCCAGCCTAGCCCAGCCCAGCCTAGCCTAGCCTAGCCCAGCCCAGCCTAGCCCAGCCTAGCCCAGACAAGCCTAGCCCAGCCCAGCCTAGCCCAGCCCAGCCTAGCCTAGCCCAGCCCAGCCTAGCCCAGCCCAGCCTAGCCTAGCCCAGCCTAGCCTAGCCTAGCTTAGCCTAATCATCGTCCTTCAAGTAAAGCTAACTTCACCATTTAATTTCGCGAGTAAACCTAATAACCAATATATTAGGAACTCGTCTATCTAGTCTTGGTATCTGGTGCAGGGATCCCAACCCTGTCAGGGAACCAGACCGAGAACATGGCTCCGCAGCCATCATTTGTAAAGTTTGCGTTTTGAATATTCAACTTACCAGTTGGCAGTATTCATATATATTCAGTGGGATTGGTACTCTATGATGTTTACTTATTATATTGAGGCTCTTCACTTCCACTTTGGGTTCATATGTGGCCGCCTGTGGCAGGTGTGTACAGTGTGTGTGGCCACCTGTGGCAGGTGTGTACAGTGTGTGTGTGGCCACCTGTGGCAGGTGTGTACAGTGTGTGTGTGGCCACCTGTGGTAGATGTGTACAGTGTGTGTGTGGCCACCTGTGACAGGTGTGTACAGTGTGTGTGTGGCCACCTGTGACAGGTGTGTACAGTGTGTGTGTGGCCACCTGTGGCAGGTGTGTACAGTGTGTGTGGCCACCTGTGGCAGGTGTGTACAGTGTGTGTGGCCACCTGTGGCAGGTGTGTACAGTGTGTGTGGCCACCTGTGGCAGGTGTGTACAGTGTGTGTGTAGCTACATGTGGCAAGTGTGTACACACCTTCCGCTCTCTCGACAGCGACTGTCAAACATATTAACTACCAATATATATGAAAATATATAATATATATATATATTTAGTACACATATACGCGGAAATGAAGTCACACACACACTCTCACATCTAACATAAACATCTCTTATACTCACAAAGTGGAGAACTACCACAGTGTTAGAGAGCGGCCAGCGGGGGGGGGGGACTTTTATTTAAAGCAAACAGACAAGGGGCCAGATTCACGAAGCAGTTACGCAAGCACTTACGAACCTGCACATCTTTTCTCAATATTTAGCTATTTCGTTTACAATTATTAAACAGTTAATGAGCTCGGAAGCACCAGGAAGCTGTTTATAACAATAACAACAGTTGACTGGCAAGTTTTCACGCTTGTAAACTGTTTAATAAATGTAACCAAAGCCGTCAAAGATTGAGGAAAGATGTACACGTTCGTAAGTACTTGCGTAACTGCTTCAGGGAATCTGGACCAAGAGCAGCAAACAGCTGAACTACCGACGGTGTCTCTAACAACCCTCCACTACAAGATGGCAGAGAGAAACTACCTCTAAATAGGCTTGTTGAGCACTTAAACCCTTTTTGACCATTTGGCCGCCAGACATCAGCACATATTAGGCGAAGGATAAAAGCAAAAACAGACAAATTATAAAAAATCTTCACCATTTAAGCTGGTACAGATGTTATTGAAGAACACGACCTAAACGAGAACACTTTAGAGTTATTCATGAACATTTCGTACCAAAATAGATCACATGGGCCAACCCTAAAAAAAAAAAAGTGGCACAAAATAAAAATTTCTCCCTCGCAGAACAAAACATTTCTGTATATTTAATGACTGTACAAACGCAACAATTACGCTAATACAACCGACTATGTTTTTCCTACGGTGAGAGGAAAGCTCGCTGGGTCACGGTAACTGTGCGTAATGAGCCTAAACGGTGCAGAGAGAATGCTAAAAGCCATCGTAGACTTACGGGAAAAAAAAAACTAAAAATCTCTCTACCTGGTGAAGATATTTAATGACCCCAGAGCGACTTAGAATCATTCCCACATTACGACGGTGATTCTGTACAACCATTGGTCAGCGTGGCATCTGTAAACAACCATTCACGTTACTATCACGTAAACAACGTGATAGTAACTATCTCCAGATGGCACCACAACCCGTCTGAACCATCGAGATGGCACCACAACCCGTCTAAACCCTCCAGATGGCACCACAACCCGTCTAAACCATCCAGATGGCACCACAACCCGTCTAAACCCTCCAGATGGCACCACAACCCGTCTAAACCCTCCAGATGGCTCCACAACCCGTCTAAACCTTCCAGATGGCACCACAACCCGTCTGAACCATCCAGATGGCACCACAACCCGTCTAAACCTTCCAGATGGCACCACAACCTGTCTAAACCCTCCAGATGGCTCTACAACCCGTCTAAACCTTCCAGATGGCACCACAACCCGTCTGAACCATCCAGATGGCACCACAACCCGTCTAAACCATCCAGATGGCACCACAACCCGTCTACACCCTCCAGATGCCACCACAACCCGTCTGAACCATCCAGATGGCACCACAACCCGTCTACACCATCCAGATGGCACCACAACCCGTCTAAACCCTCCAGATGGCACCACAACCCGTCTAAACCTTCCAGATGGCACCACAACCCGTCTGAACCATCCAGATGGCACCACAACCCGTCTAAACCATCTAGATGGCACCACAACCCGTCTAAACATCCAGATGGCACCACAACCCGTCTAAACCTTCCAGATGGCACCACAACCCGTCTAAACATCCAGATGGTACCACAACCCGTCTAAACATCCAGATGGCACTACAACCCGTCTAAACCCCCCAGATGGCACCACAACCCGTCTAAACCCTCCAGATGGCACCACAACCCGTCTAAACATCCAGATGGCACCACAACCCGTCTACACCTTCCAGATGGCACTACAACCCGTCTAAACCCCCCAGATGGCACCACAACAAAGCTGAATCAACCAGATGGCGCTTCAGCACATCTGGTCCAACAAATGTCACCACACGAGTTCTGAACACGTAACATCTGGTCAGTTCTCACCAAAAATCTTTTGCACTTGAGTAGAATGGAGAGAGAGAGAGAGAGAGAGAGAGAGAGAGAGAGACCCAGACGCTGGTGGAACAAAATAGACGCGGCACAGTTTTCCAGCCTTATATAAGACTTTTTCCAAGAGACACGATTATTGCCAGCGACTTGTGATATTGTATGTTTAGATGGCAGATGTATAATATAGGAGTATGGTGGGGAGTTTTCTCTCGCTGTGTGTGTGTGTGTGTGTGTGTGTGTGTGTGTGTGTGTGTGTGTGTGTGTGTGTCTGTGTCTGTGTGTGTGTGTGTGTGTGTGTGTGTGTGTGTCTGTGTGTGTGTGTGTGTGTGTGTGTGTGTGTGTGTGTGTGTGTGTGTGTGTGTGTGTGTCTGTGTGTGTGTCTGTGTGTGTGTGTCTGTGTGTGTGTGTGTGTGTGTGTGTGTGTGTGTGTGTGTGTGTGTGTGTGTGTGTGTGTGTGTGTCTGTGTGTGTGTCTGTGTGTGTGTGTGTGTGTGTGTGTGTGTGTGTGTGTGTGTGTGTGTGTGTGTGTGTGTGTGTGTCTGTGTGTGTGTGTGTGTGTGTGTGTGTGTGTGTGTCTGTGTGTGTGTGTGTGTGTGTCTGTGTGTGTGTGTGTGTGTGTGTGTCTGTGTGTGTGTGTGTGTGTGTGTGTGTGTGTGTGTGTGTGTCTGTGTGTGTGTGTGTGTGTGTCTGTGTGTGTGTGTGTGTGTGTGTGTGTGTGTGTGTGTGTGTGTGTGTGTGTGTGTGTGTACTCACGTATTTGTGCTTGCGGGGGTTGAGCTTTGGCTCTTTGGTCCCGCCTCTCAACTGTCAATCAACTGGTTACAGGTTCCTGAGCCTACTGGGCTCTATCATATCTACATTTAAAACTGTGTATGGAGTCAGCCTCCACCACATCACTTCCTAGTGCATTCCATCTTTTGGCTCATGTGGGTACTCAGTTTCCACCTGTGACCCCTTGTTGTTGTCCCACCAGTGTTGAATAGTTTATCCTTGTTTACCCGGTCGATTCCCCTGAGGATTTTGTAGGTTGTGATCATGTCCCCCCTTACTCTTCTGTCTTCCAGTGTCGTAAGGTGCATTTCCCGCAGCCTTTCCTCATAACTCATGTCTCTTAGTTCTGGGACTAGTCTAGTAGCATACCTTTGTACTTTTTCCAGTTTCGTCTTGTACTTGACAAGATACGGACTCCATGCTGGGGCCGCATACTCCAGGATTGGTCTTACATATGTGGTGTACAAGATTCTGAATGATTCCTTACACAGGTTCCTGAACGCCGTTCTGATGTTAGCCAGCCTCGCATATGCCGTAGACGTTATTTTTTTTATGTGGGCTTCAGGAGACAGGTTTGGTGTGATATCAACTCCTAGATCTTTCTCTCTGTCTGTTTCATTAAGTACTTCATCTCCTATTCTGTATCCTGTGTCTGGCCTCCTGTTTCCACTGCCTAGTTTCATTACTTTACATTTACTCGTGTTGAACTTCAACAGCCATTTGTTGGACCATTCACTCAGTCTGTCTAGGTCATCTTGTAGCCTCCTACTATCATCCTCTGTTTCAATCCTCCTCAAAATTTTTGCATCATCGGCAAACATTGAGAGGAACGAATCTATAGATTTACATATACCAGAAACAGTATAGGTCCAAGGACTGACTCCTGCGGGACTCCACTCGTAACGTCTCGCCAATCTGAGACCTCACCCCTCACACTGACTCGTTGTCTCCTGTTGCTTAGGTACTCCTGTATCCAACGGAGTACCTTCCCTTTCACTCCTGCCTGCATCTCCAGCTTTTTCACTAGCCTCTTGTGTGGCACTGTATCAAAGGCTTTCTGACAATCCAAAAATATGCAGTCTGCCCACCCTTCTCTTTCTTGCCTGATTTTTGTTGCCTGGTCGTAGAATTCAAGTAACCCTGTGAGGCAGGACCTGCCATCCCTGAACCCATGTTGATGCTGTGTTACAAAGTTCTTTCGCTCCAGATATATGTGTGTGTGTGTGTGTGTGTGTGTGTGTGTGTGTGTGTGTGTGTGTGTGTGTGTGTGTGTGTGTGTGTGTGTGTGTGTGTGTGTGTGTGTGTCTGCAACATTGTTCAGTGACGCAGAATATGTCACCGAGGGTCTTCCTGCCAACATCAAGTGATTCAATTATATGTGTATTAAATACAGAATCTAAATAAATAAAAATGGAAATGTTCGTTTGTTCAAAATCGCTAATCTCCGAAAGTTCTTCACTGATTGATTTGAACTTTTCATACAACGTTCCATTCGCATCCGAGCGGATTTTTATATACATACTACATAGATGTCACGTCTGTGATGGGAAATTTTTCTTTTTAAAAACTGTGTTTTTCATGTGAGGGAAATCTCCATGAAATCCTCTTTACCGATTGCTTTGAAATTTTAACACAACGTTGCATTTGAATAGGCGCGTGTTTTTATATGCCTACTATATACATGCCTCACCTGTGATAGGTAAAAACATGTTTGTTAGTTTTTTAAATAGCACCATCTGTTGCACGCAAGAGCAATACCCGCTATACTAAATATGTTACGATTCCATTTCAATGTTTCCGATTGCATTGATAAATTGAATTTTCATAGATTGATTTATTTTCATTTTGATTTAATTATTTTGTGTGCCAATGCATTGGAATTGAGCTCTGTTGTTTACCATACATTCATTTCGTAAGTATAAGTGTAGATGCCACACCTGTGACAGGTAAAAATATTATTTTTTTTTAAGAAACAGCGCCATCTGCTGCCTCTTGCATGTTAGAGCAACACACGAGATAGTGGGAGATGGTGGGGAGGATGAGGAGACGGTGGCATAAGGAATGGTTAGGAGGACGAGGGGATGGTGGGTAAGACAAAGGGACAGGGGAGGGGGAATGATGGGGTGGACGAGGGGACAGGGGAGTGGGGATGGTTGGGAGGACGGGGAGTGAGGAATGGTTGGGAGGATGAGGGACAGGAAAGGGGGGAATGGTGGGGAGGACGGGGGAGTGAGGAATGGTTGGGAGGATGAGGGGACAGGAAAGGGGGGAAATGGTTGGGAGGATGAGGGGACAGGAAAGGGGGGAATGGTGGGGAGGACGGGGAGTGAGGAATGGTTGGGAGGATGAGGGACAGGAAAGGGGGGAATGGTGGGGAGGATGAGGGGACAGGGGCGTGGGGGATGGTTGGGAGGATGAGGGGACAGGAAAGGGGGGAATGGTGGGGAGGATGAGGGGACAGGGGAGTGGGGGATGGTTGGGAGGATGAGGGGACAGGAAAGGGGGGAATAGTGGGGAGGACTGGGAGACAGGGAAAGGTTGCTGTGGCTCAGCAACGCACATGTGTTGTTGAGCCACAACAATGCGTGGCCGGGTACAGCTAGTCTATTTATATAAAAATGTAAATGTTCGTTTGTTCAAAATCGCTAATCTCCAAAAGTTCTTCACCGATTGCTTTGAAATTTTCACACAACATTCCATTCACATCCAAGCGTGTTTTTATATGCTATATAGATGTCTTGTCTGTGACGGGGAAAACATGCTTTTTTGAAAAGCTGTATTTTTCATGTGTTTTCATGTGAGGGAAATCTTCGAAACCTCTTTACCGATTGCTTTGAAATTTTGTCACAACGCTGCATTTGAATTGGCGCATGTTTTTATATACCTACTAAATACATGCCTCACCTGTGACAGGAAAAAACATGCTTCTTTTTAAAACAGCCCCATCTGTTGGACGTAAGAACAACACGCTGTAATCTCCAAAAGTTCTTCACCGATTGCTTTGAAAAGTTGACAACGTTCCTGTGACAGGTAAAAACATGTTATTTTTAGAACAGTGCCATCTGTTGCACGGAATAGTAACACAAGCTATACTAAATATGTTACAATTCCAATTCAATGTTTCCAATTGCATTGATAAATTAAATTTTCATAAATTTCGATTTATTTTCATTTTTATTTATTTTTTTTGAGTGTGACATTGCATTGGAATTTAGCTGTGTTTACCATACCGTTAATTTCGTAAGTATAAGTACAGATGCACACCTGTGACAGGTAAAAACATTCTTATTTTAAGAAACAGTGCCATCTGTTGCACGTAAGAGCAACACACACTATGCTAAATATGTAATGATTCGATTTCAATGTTTCCAATTTAATTGATAAATTGAATTTTCAGAGATTTCGATTTATTTTCATTTTGATTTAATTATTTTGTGAAATATTGCATTGGAATTGAGCTGTGTTGTTTACCATACCGTTCATTTCGTAAGTATTGTTTATTTTTTTATTTTTTCATTGTATTTCATTTCGTTTTTTTTTTTTAACTTTTTTTTATATTTCAATAATGGGAACATCAGATCATTTGATGTTCCCAATTTTCTGATGGTAACATCAGACCATTTGGGAAGGCATCAGACAAGGGAGTGGGGAATGGTGGGGATGACGAGGGGATAGGGGAGTTGGGGACGAGGGGACAGGGGAATGGAGAATGGTGGGGTGGACAAGAGGGCAGGGGAGTGGGGGATGGTAGAGAGGATGAGGAGATGGAGGAGCGGGGAATGGTTGGGATGCGAGGGAAGGGGGGAGTGAGGAATGTTTTGGAGGACGAGGGAACAAGGGAGGGGGAGGGGAATGGCAGGGAGGACTGGGAGACAGGGAAGGATGCTGTGGCTCAGACACAC